TGTATGCATGTGTGCATGTGTGCATGCATGGAGGTATGTTTGTGCGTGTGCGTGCATGTATTTCTTTATATATATATATGTCTATACACACATATAATCTTTCTGTATATATACATATTATATGTGCGTGTGTTTGTATGCAGCTTTTCATATATGTGTGCATGAGCGCTTGCCTGCATGTACGCATGCATGTATGCATGTAATTATCAAAAACAGACCTTCGTACGTATTGAACATAGGTTGTTCAGTATCCCTAGATAGGTAGCCGGGCAGATTGACTCATAAGTAGATTGGTTGATTAGGTATGTTTACCTGAGTGTGTGCATATGCACGTATGCACATGTTAATATATCAAGAGCCACCAGTCTACTTCGAAGGATTCCGAGCTTTGATTGGGTTTGTTTGCTAGGCTCGCAAAGGAACCGCCCCCGCACCCGCAGCCGCGGCTCGAGCGGTTCCTCTCCGGTACCGCAGGTTTTCGACTTAGGACATCCGCGGCTTCTTCTGATGGCCCGAGGCGAATGCTTCTGCATCCCTCGTTATCTTTGTGTCTGTGCTCTCCCGCTCGCCCGACCAGGTCGGCGACGGAGACACCGATATCGGAGAGGCAGTTCTGGTTCTGCCTCTTCCCGACGCTCTGGCCGCCCGGTGCTCATTTTGACCCGGCGCTTTGAGTCTCTCTTTCCGGTCTTCTGTTTCAGGTCGCCGGTCTCGACAGAGAACTCGCCCCCCGTCACGACGCCGCTCCTCTCCTCGTCGGACTTCCGACTCCGAGGACCGTCTGTGCATCTAGGGGTTGCCTTCACCTGCTGCCGCATGCTGTCTCTGCACATCGGCATGTGAAGCTTTTGTGTCTTTGTTGAACTTTGTCTTGCCGCAGCCGTTTCTGATCTGACGTTTTTCTGCTGCCCCGCCTTTCCGCCCTCTCTGGTGTCATGGCTGTGCTTCCGACCCCGGACGCTTCCGCTACTCCGGCGCCGGCGGAATCGGCCTCTGCCTCTGTGGAAGGCATGCCTGAGGCAACTGTTGCTCCGGTCCCAAGCCCGTCACTGGACGAGTCCACGGAGGACCCAGTGACCAGTCCGGTGGCTCGGGCGCGGAGGAGGTTGCCGCTCCTTCTTCTGCACCTGGGCCTGCAGAAGCTGAGCCGGCCTCCGCCCCGGTCCCGTGGCTGGTCGGACCGCTTGGTCAGAGATTCTGAGCTTTCTGGACCTGCCACAGGAAGCCGCGCTTTCTCATCTACCAACCTCCGAGCTGATCAAGCTAACGCTGGAGGCGTCCGCAACCGCAATGGGCAGACTGGGGTGGTACGACGGCTCGCGTACCCCCCTGCCGGCTCAGGTTGCCAATCCGCCCCCGCCGCTGGTTCTGAGGAGTGGTCCGCCGCCCAAAGAGCCCCGCACTTGTGCCCGATGCAGATCCGGATCCCCGTCCGGAGCAGGTGCCGCAGAAAGCCTGTCCGTTGCCGGGGGCGCTGGCAATGCGCCCAGTGGAAACCGCAATGCAGAGGTGCCTGCCTCTTCCAATGCGGCCCCGACTCCGGCACTGCCACGGGCACGCGATCGGCAGTCCGAGCGGAGATCTGATGAGAGGGGGCGGAAGCTGCGGAGACAGGGCCAGGCTGGCAGACACAGGTCCCGGTTGGGAGGCGCGTGCTGGCTGAACTCAGGTGGGAGGCCTTGGCATGCTCCAGAGCCGTGTGCAGTTGGCCGCACGGTTTGCCGTTAGCGAGCGGAACCGGGCAGGCGTGCACAAACTTGCAGTCCTCCTTGGTACACTTCCCAATGGCAAAACGCATGCAGGCTTCCTTACCATTGATCTGCTTATGCCATGTGGTATGGAAGCCCTTCGGAGGCGGATTCGGAGTGGCTTTGGCTTTGGCGCCAGGACGGCCCTTGCCTTCTTTCTTCGGATGCGGGGGCTCGGCATTAGCGTCACTCGGGCCTGTTCTGGGTTTTCATCCGACACTCAGTGGGAAGCGTTCTTCCGACGGGTCTTATCTCACTCGCGCCACAGCATGCCATCCGGAGCCGCTTGCATCGGCACTGGCTGCAAAGGCTGCTCCTTTTCTCTCGCAAAGCACGGACTCAGGTGAGGTTACCCGTCTTTCTGACTGGGTCTCTCTGCTGCCTTCCAAGTTCCCGTGGCCGTCACTTCCGCGCCGCGTGGAAGACGGTGCGGGGACTTGCAGCACTGCCCGTCCGGCTCTGTCTTCGGGTCATGACTCTCTGGGACCGCTTCGCGCCGCTTGGTCCAAGCGTCTGTTGCAGGATGGCCTGGCCGGTCGCATCGCAGCCTCCCTGAATTCAAGCTCTCGCACGGCACCTCTGACCACCGGCCGCTCCCGACTCCAATGTCATTCCTCTGCAGCATTGTGACTCTGCCTGGAAGTCCGCTCTGGACCATTCCGATCTGGTAGATGAGTTGCTGGCCGAGGATCTGGCAGAGGGCTGGATCGCCGTGGTGGAGGGGGGTGATGCACGCTTGAAGAGGGAGTATGCCGTCTCCGCTGTTTGAAAGCTTGGGGTGGTCCTTGCCGAGGGTCGCTCCGCCCGCCTTGTGGTGGACTCCTCTGTTTCTGGTGTTACCTCCAACACCGTTCTCCCCAACCGCTCTTCCAACCCCACGCTCTCTAACGTCTTTTCCTGTATGCCCCTCTCTCTGACTCCCTCGAACGGCTGGTAGCTCTGGTGCTTGATGTTGCCAAGGCACATCGCCGCATTCTGATCCGCAAACAGGACAGGGGGCTGCTCTGTTTCCGCCACAGAAACGTCCTGTATCAATGCACCACTCTGAATTTTGATGCACGAGTGTCTAGTTTCTTCTGGGCCCGCGCAGCGGGGCTGCTTGTACGTCTGATACACCGTCTGCTATGTGTCCGCCACTCAGCGCAGATATATGTGGATGACCTCCTCAGTCTGCTGGACTCTGTTTCCGCACCGGTCTGGGCATCTCTGGTGGTCATCCTCCTCATGCTCGTCCGAGTTCCGCTCTCCTGGCATAAGTGTGCTCTGAGCGCCAAGGTTGTCTGGATCGGCTGGGAACTGAACCTGTCTGTCTTTACAGTGCGCCTTGACCCAGAAAAGTTTCAGCGACTCTGTGTCCTTCTTCGCCACGCGCTTTTGTCGCGTCGCTGCTCTCTGCCCATGTCCTGGAGCGCGTTACAGGGAAACTCCTTTGGCTCTCGTCCTTGTTTCGGGAATTTCGCCCTACCCTGGCTCCGCTGTACGCCGACCAGCATTCCCTGTTGCCCACTATGACTGCCCTGGATCCGCGCCACTGGGAGACTCTACGCTCCAAGCTGTCGCCTGACCTTCTTGTGCTGGACAGCATCGGCATCACTGCTCTACCCCCTGGCTCTCGCATCACTCGTGTTGCACAGACGCCTGCGCAGCGTCTGTCTGATCTCCCTCTGACACGCGTCGCATTTGGATCCAGGCCGTCTCCCTGCACACGGGGATCTGTGTTCTTTCGGACGCCTCCTTGCATGTCCTCCGTCTCTGGCTGGACTTGGCCGAGTCAGGCACATCGTTGCGCTCGCTCTTTCGTGCTCCGCGGTTTGAGTGTGCTGCCTTTGCAGACGCTTGTGCCTCTCCGTCCTCAGCCGGCCTTGGGGGCTTCGTCCGTTTACCCTCTGGAGCTCAGCTCTTCTTTCAGAAGGCTTTCTCTCGCGCAGAGCTGCTGTCTCTGTTTCCGTGGGTGGCACTCTCTGACTCTGTACAGAGCTTCATTGCCTCCTGGGAGCTTCTGGCTCAGTGCGCGGTTATCCGGCTCCTGCATACCTTGCTGGGTGCCGGTCACGCGCCCGTTCACTGTGTCTTCCGCTGCGACAACGCTGCGTCAGACTCCGCCAGCTAGAAGGGGATTTCTCTCGCCGCTGGCCTCTGCTCAGTGCTTCGCTCTGTCTTTCTGGCTCAACACCGGCACCCTATCTCGGTTTATCTGGATCACGTGCCCGGTTTGCTCAATGACGTAGCGGACGCGTTGAGCCGCTCCAAGGATCCTGCCGCTCTGGGCTTCTCTGCGCAGGAATCCGTGGAAATTGACTGGGGGTCTTTTCCCGACACCCCGTCCTTGTCTTTGGCGCCTTCCTCATCTGCCTTCTCTGGTTACCTGGCCCAGGTGCCGGATCTGCCCGCTTGATTTCTCTTTTGGCCTTCACCACGGCTGTGGTCAAGCTGCAGCTCGATGGTTACATTGGTTGGCGGCCAAACGGGAAACCGCTGCTGCTCTGTGTCCGGTTCCGGTGCCCGCCTCCGTGCTCCTCTGTACAGGCGGCACCTGACCGGACACCGACTTTTCCGGCACTGGACAAAAAGATCGCTAGCGTGCGCCAGCATCTTCTGCAGGGTACCGGACTAGTGACTAGTGACTAGTGAACGATTCCGAGCTTTGACTGGGTTTGTTTGCTAGGCTCGCAACGGAACCGCTCCCGCACCCGCAGCCGCGGATGCTCGAGCGGTTCCTCTCCGGCACCGCAGGTTTTCGACTTCCCGCCGCCATCCCCTTCTTCTTCGCCCTTTCTGGGCTTCTCCCTTTGGCCTTTACCCGCCTCTTGGACTTCTGTCTCTGGGGCCGCTTGGCGGCCAAACACGGTGCCCGCCTCCGTGCTCCTCTGTACAGGCGGCACCAGACCGGACACCGACTTTTCCGGCACTGGACAAAAAGATCGTTAGCGTGCGCCAGCATCTTCTGCAGGGTACCGGACTAGTGACTAGTGAACAGCATGTAGAGGCCAGGCAATTGGACCCGGCCCTGAAGCTTTCGAGCTGAGCGCTCAGGTCCAAGTGGGCCGAGCATGAGAGCAGGAATTGTCGCCCTAGACTCAGTGTTCCTGGTGACGATTTGTGTGAAGGAGTCTCGTGCTGGTGTTACGTGCTTTTTCACACAAGGCCTTAACGGTTGCCCTCTTCCAATCCGTGATCTGGGAGTCGGGTGGCCCAGACGATGAGAATTGTTGTAATGGCAGTTTGAAAGGTCTTCTCCCGATCCATGAGCTTATACTGAGACATCTCCGATGGGCATGACTTTCAGTAAGTCACGAGTTCTGAAAGGTTGATGCCGGCACAAGCATAATTGAAGAGTTGCGCAGAGCTTCGGGATCTGAGGTAGCCCGCTGGAATGCTAAGAAAGCCCTTCCAGCACCAGCTTCTCAAGTGCAGTTGAGTGTCGCTTTCCGGCAGCGCAGGGTCAATGCTGGCGACACCGACTGCAGCAGGACCTGTGGATGAATTTGCAGCTCTGGGTCTTATGCTCCCATCGTGCTACATAGGCTTTCTACATGGCTCACGATGTGCTGAAGTTAAGGCAAAAAGGTGCCATGCCCCAGAGTGTTGCATTGCTTCTCGCTTTAATCATCCCGAACCGACAGCAGGATGTTCGAAGATGGAGACTGTCTCAAGCGCCTTGCCAAAGTATATCACCGTATTCGGCAGTGTGCGTTTGTGCTGCCGGTGTCATGATGTTTCAACACAGGCGGCCGCGCTTCATGGAGCTACATTGCGGGGGCTGCGGCAACTTCACAGTGCACGAAGAGCTTCGTGGGCGTTTTCTTTTTGAGGATCCTGATCAGCGCTACAAGATGCTACAAGCCTCCTGTGGCTGAAGGGTTTCAAGCTGTAAGAGAGCAAGACGTGCAAGGGGTCTGAGGCACATAGGGTGTTTCTTGTCGTTGCAGGACGCTGTGTCCCCTACATTGCTGAAAGACCTGCTCGCACTGGCACCCGAGGCAAGGCAAAGGGCGATAGAAAGCCAAGGCAGTCCAGCAAAGTGTAGCATAAGATGAATGACGCCTCCGTGCGAAAAAGATTCAGGTGGTTGTTCCTGGCGATGGCTATGGCGGGCGAGCTCGTCCCTTCAAGCCGGATGAGGCCTGGAATGCGCCGAAGACCGGGATTTGATTGAATTGACATGCCTTGTGAAGATCCTGCCAGGTTTGGGCTGGAGTTCAGCTCCTGGATGCCGCTGACTGGGCTGTACGCCAGGTAGCCCTGTGTCCAGAGCTTCGTTCGGGAATATCTTCAACTTGATTACATTCCCGCAGCATAGAGGCATAGATATCTTCGTCTTGGCAGGCACAAGAAGGCCGCCGAGAGGCATTGGCCTTTGCGCGTAGCTTCGTGGAGGTGCTTCGTTTGCAATGCGGGCAACTGCGGTCTGCGTGACGTTAGTGGCCTGCAAAACGCACCGACATTCATTGCCAGGTACTGCAGGGTTGGATGCGCACATTAAACCAGTCCATTCAGTGCGAGAGTCCGCGCTTCCCCGCCCGTAAGCATGGCGTGTTCTGCGTGCACATCGTCACACGGAGTGTTGCGAAACAGTCAAAACTTGCTACTGAGTCAATTGCACGAGGTAGTGCGCACTATGAGCAGCCTTGCCGCACTGGACTACGTACAGGGACACTTGAGTGAGTGCTGCTGCTGTCATTTGGCAAGTCTGAGAGAGCACATGCCAGGGTCGCTGCTGGGTAATCTCTTCGGGTTGAGGCCAGCAGGCTTGTGAAGTCACTTTTCTGACCTTATCTCTGACTGTGGGAGACGGAGAAACTGTCATACTTTCAGGCAAGTTACCCTCCACTTTGCACAGCTGGTATGCCGACACAAGGATCCAAAGCAAGCGGCAGAGGCTTCTCACGCGTTTGCATCCTGCGCTTTCGATGACTTTTGCGAGCCGATGTCAACGGCAGGCAGGCGACAGCCATCCTGTGCACTCGGACGATGGTTGCAAATACCAGGAGAAACTGGCAAGCTGCGTTGCATCTTTGATCTATTTTGTTCTTCTCTGATGAAATAATGACTACAGCGGCCGTGCTCCAGGTTCTGTCGTTTTGTTGTCGCACTAGAGTAAACGGAGTGTGTCTGTACAAGGAGCCAGCTGACGACTTGAGCGAGTCTTGCATCGCCCCGGAGGCAGTGCACTGATTTGAACAAAGGATTCAGCACATGGTACGCTCCAAGCTTGCCAGACTTCCCTCGACGTATTCCTACGTGTGCTATGCTGGTTTTTGCCCATGCATTCTCTGTCAGACTGGGGACCCTCGCACGCATGCGGCGTATCTCTATCTTCATGGACCGGAAGGAGGAGACTTTCGAGGAGGCGTTCCGCAGCTTCCTAGAGCCAATTCGGTCATGGTGACGGTTTGACGGAGAAGCCTTCCTCGGCAAGAGTACTGGTTGCAGGTGACTTCTTCTTTGTCAGCCAAAGCCAAGAGCGAGTTCGGCTACGACCTGCAGCAGGTCGTATGGCTCGAATCTCAGTTCCCGTTTCCGTTTCCGTCGGTGCAAAGATGGCTTCAGCCTTCAGGTAGCAATTGCTGCGAGCAGCAGCAATCTGCATGGTGTGGAGCACCTGGAGGTGCACCATGCCATGGAATGTCTCCCCTGATTCCTCGCAAAAAACCTAAACTCCTCGATCTTCCGCACTGTACAGTCGAGTCAGTCACCTTCTGTCAACGAGTTTGTGAACTTGTGCTGGCGACAGCTGGCAATTTTTTGCTGAAGCTATGCCGTCGGGGGTGGGGCTGCCCCAGCAGCCGCAGCCACTTTGGACAACACACGTCGAAGTAGAATGTGACTTTTGCTACAGTTTTCCGGCACCGGGGGGAGGGGGAAGGCGGAGGATGGGGTCGACTTGGAGCCCATTTCTACTTTAGCTTGTCGTCCTGGACCGCATTCCCCACAGTCGCATAAGTCAAAGTGCTGAGTGAACGAACTGTCGAACTTGGGCCGTCATCCGAAAAAATCACAGTTTTTGCCACGTAACTTGCAAATCTTGCGACAGGCAGGCACTCGCTGTCACGTCGGCGTGTGGGTGGCTGCTGACAGTGAGGCAAACTGTTGCCTGTCACTTGTCTTGAGGCTTCCACGGCATGGAAGCGATGCATCCGTCTGCTAGGATACTGGTGCATACGGGTATCAGCGCTACAGCTTGCAGCAGGCCAGCAGCAACAGCAGCTTTGTCATTGTTTCTTGGCCTGACTCGAACCTACTTGCTCAGTCGCGTGCTTTAGAAGTCAACAAAATCGAACACTTTGAGATGATGATCTGCATGCCACATCCGGCTCACCGCAGACAAACTAATATGCAGGCAATCCATTTTACTCACTCTGGTCCTGCTGGTTCGTTGCTGTTAACTAAGACTCAAGCCTTGGGGTGACAGCTGCGCAGCACTTGCAAGACTTGCAAGCTTGACCTCGGTGAGGCAGAGAGCATCTTGGCGGGAGTTCTTCCTCCTGGATCCCGGCCGCAGGTTCAGGACCCCGCGACAAATTTCGTTATCGAACAGCAGCACTGACTTTAGAACTCCAGTTGCAGTCCTTTCTGTGGCCTTGAAATGCATTCGAGTTACGGAGCATCAACATGGAGCTTCGTTTGTGATTTGTGTCGGAGAGGACTGGCGACAAGAAGCGAGCAGCCACCAGCAAATGTGTGCGGCTGCAAGTAACGTGAAGGCCGAGGCGAAGGCCATACGCTGACTTCGCAGTCGCAATCCAGCTTTGAGGGTTTGTCAGCATCCATGTGCTTGGCGAAGGCCGAAGCCGTCGGGAACCCTCAGCTTGAGGCAGCATGGGATTGTCATGCGCTTGGTTCCAGCGAATCCTGCACGTGTTTCGGAATATGTGCTAGGTTTGCGCTTAGAGTTTAACGATTCGGCAGCACTTCTGACCTAAAGGCAGGCATGATCTGTCCCAGGAATCTCGTGTAGCGGGGCGCGGTGCAATCGGTTACCAACTGATCAACCTCTACAAAACATTAATTTGTCAGGAACTGGCAGTCCTTGCAGATCTTCCTGGTCCCCAGATACTCCGTGTAGGAGGTGGCAAAGGGTAAAAGCTGCGCTTGGCTTGAGAACCTCGGATTTGGCAGCTTGTAGGGGGAGGTATCTCATTGAGGAATGTTGAGCTGAACTAGGTGGATAAGCAAGGGTACAAGTAGCTCACGGAGAGTCGGCTTGTTCACGAAAGTTGTTAAACTGGGGCGCTGCTCATAATTGCGTTGACTTACTGTTGACTTCCTGCAGCCGCACCTAGAAGTCGCTCGAGTAGCCTCCTTCGCTCGTCAGGTTTTCTATCTGCGCAGGAAGCACAACACATCATTGCCCTTGCCAAGCCTACGTTGAAGGAATGGCAATGCACCATGGGGTTCACGTTGGGGCTTGGGGAGGTGTTAGGAAAACAGCTTCTGCCCCAAATTGTCTTCGGCCGCATGCAATCTCACAGCCAACTTGTGCCCTGTATTTCTTAACAACCTGCCACCTAAGTTAAAACCACAACGAAGGAGTTTGCAGTCTCCCACGTAGTCTTGCAACTGTCAAGCTGGCAATGAGATTGTGTGTATTTCTACCTGACAAGAGTTCCGAACAGGGAACTTGCGCAAACGGCCTGTCCGGTCAGATTGGGGTGCATCTGGCCTCACACTCACTCTGCGGTGCTGCACGGAGCCGTGGAAATGCATTAGTCGAACGCAGCAGAAATTGAGCAATCCCTGCCAAACAGAACGATGTGTTTCCGGACATGCCACAAGTGATCTTGCTGAGCGGCCCGAGGAACTGTCTTTCGCACAGGCCAAACAAATTTAGAGAACGAGCTTTGCTCACACAGGGAAACGCGACCCCATAACCAGCAAAAGAAAGAACACGCCTCCAAGGACCGTCCCCCCCCCCCCCGCCCCTGCTAGTACGATGTACCGCATCACCAGCCCAGCAACAGAAGCTTAAACTGCACGGCAAAACTTAAGACTAAGACCATCGGGTTCTGTGGAGAGGATGGCGTGGTGATCGAGTCCGGTCAGCTGGTTCGAGCAAAGTATCGGACAAGCCAGACTGCATGGTTGGAGGACGAGGAAGGAACGTGGATCAACAGCCTTTAGATCCCTCGTTCCGCCAGCTTTCTTCCAGTGAAGGATCCGGTCTTGCGGAACATCTCCAAACGGATTGAAGACTTTACCGGCTTGTCCCTGCAGTCCGCAGAGCAATTTCAGGCGTGATCTGCTGCGTCAAGCTTTCCTGCTTCAGTCTGCTCAGTGCAAGCTCTTGTTCTGGGTAGGTGGCCCACTACACTGCAGAGAATCAGGGCGGCTATGAGCCGCACTTCGACTGGGGGACCCTAAGTTTGGCACGTGGCACGTGTCACTCCGTGTCACTGGATTCTTGTGACCGTCTGAGAACTCGCAGGACGGAGGTCGAAGTCACAGGCGCCTTCGGAACCTCGGAGGACAGCGGTGCAGTCCCCAGACCTCCTGCAGCAGAAATCGGTACGTGGGATGGTTCGTCCTTGGCCCCCCAGCTTTGTTCTTTTGACAACTGCGAGGATGTGCTGAGGTGTACAGGATTCATCTGCCAGCCAAGTGGCAAGTCTTCAGTTTTGTCCCCTAAAAACGTCCTGACTGCTCCTTAACGGGTTTGGCTCCAGACGACGGACATGGTAGACAGCCAGGCACTGTGCCTTGCGCACGCCGCAAAAGCTACAGTTTATGGCTGGCGTAGTCCGGTGGCTGTTACCTGGGTTGCAAGCCGCTGCCTTACGCCTTTCAGACAGGACGGGATCTGCGGGCTTGGCTCTGCCATTGGTTGCCATTGGGCCGGACCGGGGCTTTTCAGGCAAGTACGCGAACCTGCCCAGCTTCTTGCAGTCCGATGGACGGCACATCCTGGTGCGCAGCGGCGACGATGAGGAGCTTCCCAAAATCGCTGCCGCAGTGGCAGAGGCGGCCCTTCCATGGTCGGAGCTCTTCGTGTCTGCGCGTATCCTTCCCGGTGATCTGGGCTACGACGCAACCTTCATCGCCGTGAACCGACTGGTGCAGGGGCTGGGTGCACCAAGGATTGACCTGGTCCTTGTAAGCTCCGGGGACTCCACTGAAGGGCAAGCACGGCAAACAACTCCTCCGTGTGCTCAGAGTGAGTTTGGTTGGGAGCTTTGCGTGAAGAGTAGCCTGGCTGCTCTGGAGCACTTGCAGCTTAGCGGCCAGGTTGGACACATTGGTGCTCATGACTGGTCCGTCCAGAGCCTGCAGACCGTTGCCCCAGTGCTCCGGGCGCCTTTGGCAGCTCTGGAGCTGACCTTCGACACCTTTGCCAACAGCCATCTTGCTGCTTTGAAGCTCGGTCTCATCAAGGGCATCCAGGCCCCCCTCAATAACTCAAGGTTCAGTTGTTTCATAAGCATGAGACCCGTGGAGTCCTCGCCTTGTTTGTCTTTGACAGATCATGATGATCGGCTTCGCGGAGCAGCCCGGCCGTCTCATCTCTCCAATGTTCATCGGCGCTGGGACGCAGTCGGAGGCGTACGCTGGCCGGGCTTCACTGATGTCAGCATTTGCTACCTTGTCTTGTCTGCTGGCGAAAGATGTTGTGGCTGTCATGCCGGGTGATTTGCTTGACCCTGCAAGCATCTCCACTGTACAGTCGCTTGATGAGAGCCTTGTGCATGGATACCTTCGGGATTACTTCGACGCAGTTTTTTGGCCAGGGGAGCGACGTCCCATACTCTACGAGGCGATCTTGGAACTTGGCACGACCTGCTCGGCCAAGCTTAAGGTCTCTAGCCCTCAAGAGTGCATGGTGGCTATGGAGGAACTGGAGGGGCCGAGTGCTCTGGCGCCTCCCCAAGTGGACGACGGAACCAGGACCAGAACTAGTGCCAGTGGCTGCTCCTTGTATTTTACCGTCGGTTGCCAGTCCATTGACTGTGCGGAGGCCCACTTCGGAGAGGGGGAAAAGACTGTCGGGCAACCACGAGCTGTGCCAGTGTGCCAGATTGATGGAGCCAGGCCGCCGGCGCAGGGCAGGACGCTTTTCTTGAGCATGTGTATGGGGGCGGAGTATTTCGACAAATTTTGTGCTCCGTTTCTGGCTTCGTTTCGCATGGTTTATGGAGGTCTACTGCATGGCTGGCACACCATGCGAGTATGGACAGTTGGCGTTGGTGCCCAACAGCTTCAGCATGCAAGAGACCTGTTCTCTCCAGCAGGAGTAGAATTTGAAGAGAGCAGCTCTGAAGAGTTGCGTCGACGATTCGTGGAGGAGTATGGGCGCGGTGCAGATGCTGACTACTTGAGCGAGGACGTTGGCTCGCCAGGCCTTGATGGGCGAACCGGCTGCTTCGGCTGCCAAGGCTCTGAGTGCACTTGCGATCCAGGTGCACACGATGAGAAAGTCGTGTTCAACAACATCTACTTCCTGCAATGGGTCATTAGTCAGTTTGATGCATCGCAGAATGAGGGCTACCAGTACATGGTCTTCATTGACTCAGACATGCTGTTTCTGCGGGATCTAGGCAGGTTCATGCCGCGGGAGCCAGAGACCACAGACTGGGAATATGCTTTCACGATCTACGACAAAGCCCACGAAGTCCCTTGGGGTGGCAACGAAGAAGTGGCAAAGACCAGGAATGGATTCGTTCGAATCAATTCTGGCGTCCAGCTTTTCCGGTATACCAAAGGCGTCAGGCTCTTTCTTTCAAACCTGTTGGAGATCACTCGCATCTTCATGCGCTACGGAGAGACGAAACAGCTTGCTGAAGAGACTTGGTTTCTCGAGGAGTTTCGAGCACTGAATCAGGCCGCCATCGCCTGGTTCGTGGGTTCAGCAAATTTACTTTACAATGATTGCCTGGTATGCTGGCCACGTACTATCAGTTTTGACAGTGTGTCCGCAACTGGTCAACAGTTTTCACTGAGCGCCCAGGGGTTGCCTGCCCGTTTTATAAACCAGGCAGAGTCTGTTACCGACGGCTTACTGAGCAGAGAGGTGCACATGGTGCACCTGAAAGGTCTCTGGTGGCGCGTTTTGATTCTGAATGCAACTGCACACTCTACAGCCACACGTTGTTTTGCGTGGAATACTGGTGCGTACGATCTGTGGAAATCGCTTTACTTGGCCTGGCGGCCGGAGCTTGTGGTCACAACCAGCGTCCATCAGGGGCAGCAATGCCCAGACGTGTCTTCGTTGACTGCGTCCTTCTGACGCTTCCGAAGAATAAGCGGCTCAGGCTTAGTCTTGACTTCTAAACCACCGACATGCCTCGAGTTAACCTCGTGGCTGGATTCAGTCTGGAATAACCGTTTCGGCGTCCTCATCTGCTCGTGCCACAGAGCTAGGGCGGATGCTGGTGACAGAGGACAAAATATTTCCTTCTGGGATGTGGTGGACTCTACTGCAGCCGCACTGGCATGCAGCTGTTTCCGAGTCTGCTGCTCGTCTTCTTCCCCTTCGTTCTCGGCCTCATTCTGGCTCCCGCTGCAGTCTGCATTGATCTGTGCCTCTTCAACTTTGGAAGGTTTATTTCAGCTTCAGCGACTGACAATCCTGGAGCAATCGGATTCCGTTGGTTTTTCTTCTATTCTGGCCAGCACACGCAAAGCTGGCTGCTGTAGGACGTGCCCTCCAGCCAAACAGGCTTTTCCTACGGGAACTGAATCGCACGAGGTGAGCAAAGGCAATCATGCATGGCTAGGGCCAGGGTCCAGGCTAGAGCCGAGACAAAACCAGGACAGCGGGAGAATTCGGTTCGGATGAGGCGCAGTGGCTCTTCATGAGCTGAGGCCAGGGACCCAGACTGGCCACCTTCCTCATCTACTTGAATGACGTGCAAGGCCGCACCCTCATCCCGTAAGGTGCCTTAGCTTAGTCTGTTTTTTTGACATGCTTGCAGGTGGCGGCGCGACGACGTTTGTGCAACAGGGCCTGAGCGTCCAGCCCGAAGAAGGCCGCTAAGTTCGTTTCTAGAACCGCCACCGCAGATCCAGCCCTAGGTGGCCCTCCGGGCTTCGCTCCGATCCTGTGCTTTGCTACTTGTAGCTGCTAGCAACCTTCACGGTATCATGCTGAGATGCCGGCGGCACTCAGTCTTAGCCTATCTATAATCTATAGGCTCTGAATTGCTCGGCGCTTTTGGCCACACTGTTGCTCACTTTGGCCTGGAGGTGCTGCTCTTTTCTGGTACAATCTACTCCCATCCGGCGAGGGTGATGAGCTCGTTCGTCATGGTGCTTGCCCCGTCACGGAAGGTGAAAAGTTCATTGTAACGCGGTGGAGCTTCGGCTGCATCTGTTTTCACGAGTCCTCCGTTGCACGGGAAGTCGAATAGTCAGGCTGAAGGCAGCCAAACCTCTCAGCCCCCCAAATTGGCCACTCCGACTGTCCCTTGCTGTAGGACTGGATCAGAGCAGGCAGATCTTGTACCATCCCCCATATCCGCATCAAACAACGACGTCCTGAGGACAGTATCCACAACCTCGAAGCACTGATTTTTATAGCATGTCCTAACAACGTCACTGCGACCACATCCACAAATGAATGAATCCATATCACGCCCGAAAATCGTCCACCCCGTCCACAACCACGAACGTACGGTTATTTGCAGCACAAGGCGCTTGGGGTGTTTGCCTTGGGGTTTGGTGCCTAACTGCATGAACAGTTGAGGGTTATGTTGGTTTTCGGCATGGGGGGCGGAAAGGCACTTGTAGCTTCAACGCTCGCTCATCTCTGAGGATAGAGACGGTGGAGCTCGGAGTGAATTCTATACATTCTGCAGTAGGGCAACCAACCCCCTGAAGTCTGCATTGCAGTCAGGATCCATGCGGCCGGCAATGTGCATGCTTTTGACGCGTCCACCTCGATGCCGAGGAGCTTCACTTGCATTGCTTTCCAGTGTGCACTAAGTCTTGGCTGCTTGCAGCTCAGCCGCGGTGGCTTCAGCTGGTAGCAAGGATTTCACGCTCCCCAGAAACCTGGCCATCGCCTCGGAAAGCCCTCACTCGGCAAGGCGTGCAAGACTCATACACCGTGTAAGCCTGTTGCAGTGCCAGAGAGAGGCAGTGCGTGCATGCCAGCAACAAGCCGCAAATCGTATCCCTCTAAGGTCCTGGAGATCGCTGCCCTGCTCTTCTCTCTGCGCCTCACTCCTCAGCCCTTGGCCTCTGGAGCCAGAGTCTTCTGGTTCCCTCTCTGTCTGAGGTCACGGCACCCTTGCAGGCTGCCAGACGTTGCCCAAAAGAGTGTGCTCGAACCCAAGGATAGCTGTCTGAGGGCTGTCTGAGCATCTGAGTGTAGTTCTCTGAAGCAGCTCGCATCCATGCCCATCGATCAGGGGACTTGCTGCCGAAAACTTGCTTACAACACGCAGGCAGCACTCTGGTAGTGTTCTGCGGCTAGAACACCACAAAGCTATAGTTAAGATACGGGGAGACTCTAGAGAGTGCAGAGGACGCGTCACCAAAAAGCCCAGGATGTGGCAACCAGCTCGTCCATTCTGCGTGGTCGAGCCGCCGCTCGTGCCAATTGCCGTCTGTCTCCTTTGCTTGCTGTGGCCATGGCTAAAATGGGATGACAGGAAGTTCAGTCTTGCCCAGGTTATCGATCATGCCGTGCCGGCAGCGACTGCGAGGACGGCGCAGTTCGAAGACGAAGACCCGCAGTTTGCTTTGCAACAGTATAGTATAGGCGGAAAAGCCGGCGATCCCTGCAGGGCCCTTGCCGTCCTAGCGCCATCGGCCGTTCGAATTGGCGACGGCTTCCAGGCTTCCGGCCTGAGAAACCGAGCGCAGGCCAGCAGAGTTATCGGGGAGTGACGGGAGTCTTGAAACGTCTTGGGAGAGCCGAATCTGCGGACACAGGTCGGTGGCCTTACTCCAACAGCTGCAGTGGCCGCACTGCTCGACTCGTCAATATCCAAACTTGGACGATCGTGGTCTGTCGTCAGGAATGGGCTGCTGAGCAAGGCAGCGCTCTTGCTCTTTCCTGGGCCGTGCCACAGCAGCAAAGCCTGAGCACATTTAACCCAGTCTTTCGATGGGCTATGGGCTCAGGAAAGCTTACTGACAGCGGCCGAGTCTGTTGGCCAGCAGGCGAGTCCCTCAGTCAAGCCGGCCAGCTGAAACAAGCACGCTGCAGAAGAGCCCAAGGTGGCTTCCCACTTTGGCAAGAAATTGCTGAACTCCTCGGCCCCTGTGGATGAAGAAGGCCGGGAGAGGGCCGCCACGAGCTTCCCACTAGACCAGATGCTTGTAACTCATGATCTTCTACTCTCCTAGTGCCTCCAACCTATGCCGACGTGGATCTTTCGCTGGAGCATCAGGCGTTGGGGGTTGGCCGGCACTGGCTGCTGCGGGGTTGATACTGTGCGGCAAGCATGAATATCCCTGTTCATGGAAAAACCAGAACGGCGTGAGGCTATACCTAGAACACCTAGACCTGGTTACCACGTAGCCGTACTTGCTGCATACACTAGATTGTAGTGGTGCAACTTCGCGATTCCAGCATGAGCCTGACTTGACGTCTAGAGTCGTGCGGAAATGATACAGGGGAGTTGTTGAGAAGTCAGGAGTTGCAGATATTTCCATATGTTTTGAGAACAGAATCGGCTCGAAGGTCAGGCGGCGGGCCTGAGGTGAGAGATTCGTCAGTCCACAACGGGTAGCCTAGAAGCCACCTCATCTCTCAACCGCCTCGGGGATCGAGGTGGAGAGTTGGCCCCAAATGGGCGGATGGGAACAGACACGGCCGGCACAGGTCTCTACTTCGACTTTGTGCACCTCGTATGCCGATTTTCGCAGGAGGACAGTCAGCTGCAGCAAGCGACCTCCTGTCACACCTTGGCACTGGAAGCCTTAGGAGGTTCAGGAGGCCCCGGAAGAGTTTGAGGAGCCGCTTGGGCAGCACACTTTTCCAAGCAGAAAAGCATGCACGTCTAGGGCATTCTAGGGCCCAGGGTCGGCGAAGCTTGTGATAATTCAGTGCATCCGTCCTACAGGCAGGATTAGCAGCCACTGTAAGCGACTTTGATCTTGAGCCAACCAGTGCGGCTCCTTAACGCCATCGTTCGTTTAGCTTCGGGAAGATCGAGCATTCTTAAAAGACAGGAACGAAGGCTGTTTTTGCTAGAAAAGCTGGTTAGCCACTGATGCCTTGTCCCGTCGTCAGCGGGTTGCAGGGTGCAGCAATTGGGTTGGGACATAGTCTTCGTCATGCAGACCTCAACCCCCAACCGTGGGGTCCTCTTATGTCCCGGTCCCCTAGTTGTGTCGCACCGACAGTGTTGTCTGTTTGAGAAGTAAACATGTTAAGGTCGCACATCTGCAAGAGCCAGAGCAAGTTTTCACACGGATGCGTTGTGTTAGGTTCTCAGGCTACATCCCGGCCAATGCCAAAGACCTCTTCAACCAAGAGCTTACTCTCGAGAAGGCGAAGGTGCGGGGAAGCTTCTTCGAGCTTGTAACATGTAGCGTGCGTGAATGGCGCGTCATGTGTGCTCTTCAGCTACCAGTGGCTGCTTTAGCACGGAGAGGCCGCCTGCAGCGCTGATCTCGAATGTGAAGGTTTCACCTTCCAGGCCGCATGCAACACTCGGTGTTTGACTGCACGCGTGCTAGCCGCGGCGCCGCGCCGGGGCGGGGGGGAAGCTCAGAGAGCTGTCAGGCCGGTGCAAAGCCGGAAGAACCCAGAATGGTGCCGCTCGGCACAGAGATCTCTGGAGCAGTGCTGTGATAGTTGTGATCTACTTCGTAAGCTGTCAGGTATTTCAAAGCTCAGTGCCTCGACTTCGAGAGTGCTCTTGCCTCCCATCGTCGGCTTTTCTGAGAGACTGACTGAGAATACGAGGTGGGACCTTGCAGGCACCGGTTGGAGATCGTTTCGACGTTCACCAAGAGCCTCCTCCTTGGCCTTGACTTGTGATGGAAAGAGGGTTAGTCTCGCGCACAGACGCCCGAGCTCGGCGAGGCAAAGGAGGCAGATGCTCATGCAGCGCATGGCGACAACTGTTTCGAAGAGGACGGGCGAGTTCGACATGCTGTGCCAATGCTGCTTGAACTAAGTTACGTGGAATGCTGGCTGTGTGAACTCCGACATCAGGGGGCTTTCTGTGTGAGAAAGAAGCCCTTCTACTATTGGCGAAGCCATGCGGCTGTGCCATGGCCTGTTGGCTTGATTTGCATTGATTTGCCAGAGTTACGAAGCCTACAAATGCATTTTCCGCCAACGACTCTTCACTGACTATTTTGTTCATGCAATTGCCGGCTATCCGAAAGGTTCCGTAGCGAGGGACTGGTGTGATCGAGGTGCTTTTCCTCCACGGTCCCGAGTCGGGTGACTTTCAGGCTCGGAGCAGCAGACCGATGGACTTTGCCTATCGGCGTGCAGCCCCTGTCTGCATGGTGCAAGCTTAGACAGGGAGGCGACTTCTTCTACGCACCTTCCTTCAGAAGTCCGCCAGAGCTGCGCGTGCACGTTAAGCCTGCACCGGGGAAGCTTGGCTGAAAGGTCTTGATAGCAGGCCTGTCGCTTCTGTTGGGCAGCACTGCACGATTTGGAACTTGGCATCCACCATCGGCTTGGTAATCCATGTTCTGCAAAAGCAATCTGCAAGGAGAGCAGTGACATTTCGGGCAGGCCGAATGTAGTTTGACAGATCGGGTTGTCTGTCATCCCACAACATGTTGCGTTCAGGTGCCGAGAACATCCACGGTGTGGAGAAGGCCGCTGCAGTACAAGCACCCAGTTGTGGCGTGACGATCGACATGACTTCAGGTCACATCTGGTACACGCTGCACGCTTAACCACTGGCTGACACCAAATGCGTTTCAAGCCGCACACAGCTGCTTGCATGCAAAGATCGCAAGATTGAGGAGAAGCTGGGATGCTCTTGACTGTGGCTCGACGCTTCATGTCCTGTCTGACTAAGAATCCGAGCTGGAAGATGCGCGGAAACTGTTGCTGCACTACAAGCCGAAGGCTCAGGTGGGGTCCTGCAACACGTTTTTGACCGTTAAGACATTGGTGCCGTGCTGCGTATCGTGCCTTATGTGCGTGCCACATCAGGAGCTCTGAACCGAGATTGCCTGGTTGATGGCTTTGCGGAAGACATCGGAAAGCAAGCTTGGAAGTTATATGCGCATGGCCGTCCTTTCGAAAGAGGTCTCAGACACGTCGTGCAGATGGCAGGCGAGCAGACCGGCTGAACATGTGGGAAGACTATTGCGATTCGGCATTTTGGGGAGCAGTTTCGTTTGCCGGGAGAAGTGCTCCACAGCCGTTCGTATTTCTGAGCATGAGACTTTGGAGCTTCATCTCCATGGGTGGAGGCAACGAGCGCAGCTGCACCCAAACTCGCAAGAGAACGTCTGCATCACAGCTTTGTCAATGCTCGGCAGAAGTGCTCCGTCCAAGCTCATGGATGCCACCAGCATCGGGGGGACATCCTCTAGGTCGACACCTACTTCACCGAATGCCGGATCCTGGAGCAGCTGCGCTCGGAGGGCATTGGGGACCTAGTGGGCACTGGCAGTTGGCATGCGTGAGAATCGTGGACGCGGACGACTATCCGAATCTACTGCCCAAGAGAATGGAGAACGACTTTCAAGAACTGGATGCCTCGTGCAGAGCGTTGACACTCACCATTGATTCCAATAGCAAGGCTATGTGCATATCTGTGCGAGCTCCTTTTTTTGGGCTTCTTGGTGTCGACTGTACTTCAGCCTAAGTGGCTCCTTACTTTCCGCCAGGCGCTGCCGCGGCGGCATGCTGGTTCCACCGCGGAACCGGATCACTGTGGCGAGGACGCAAGCAAGCCAAGACCTTCTGCGTCACAACTTTCCGCCAGACAGACTGGGCATACGTTCCGAACTCGTCTGGGGCGCATGGGCTACAGAACTCCTCTGGTGCTGGTGGTTTGTCTTTGCCTATGGCTGGGGCCCATGGCTTTAATCGCAACTAGCCTGCAATGGGCGCTTGATGCTAATTTGGAGGTGCAAAAGGACACACAACTTTATTTGGGCGCCTGTGCGCGTGAGCCAGATGGGAGACAGTGTTAAACTCGTGAGCAGGAGAATACAGGGGAGATGTTGGGTTTGAAATCCGATGGGCTGCATGCTGATCGATCTGCCGGCTTTCCAGTTCAAAGCTAGCATCCGGTGGCAGAACTTGCCTGACCGGTCCTGAGAGCCTGAGTGTGGGTGCTTCGTTGATTGGGGACCGGAGCTCTTCCGTCGCTCCAGCATCCCTGCCTTCCCTTCTGCTGCACAGAGCCTCCTTGAGAGCAGTGCTGCTGAAGCTGTCCCGGCCGGGTGTTCCAAATCTTGCTGAGCGAGCACGCACGCGTGCGTTTGCCCTCATGATCCTCATGGCAGCCGCTACAATCGAAACTGATGACGACCAAGCGCACAAGCGCATGAGGTTTTTACAAGCGGTCAGGCGGCGATGACAAAATGATCACAAGTTCTTGTTTGCCGCCAGTCAAGAATTCAACATGTGCTCAGGTATGCTCAGTTCAGTTTGATCCTAACTTTGATCGTATCATGAAAAATCTTGAAGCCCATGCGGTTTATGGATATCGCCGGAAAGGCGCAACTGGCCTATCTGAAGCCGTTTCAGATTGCTGCGCGCTTATAGATTTGCTACCAGTTTGGATAAGCGGGGCAGCCCAGATGGCAGTTCAAACTTAGGCCTTGCTGGCCAGTTCGGCGGCGTGGGAGGCCCAGCACAGATTTTAGGCTGGGCCCCGGGGAGGTGCTGTCGGCTGTCGTCGTCGTAGGCGCTGTAGCCGCGAGTGAGCAAAAAATGCGAGTCCAAGGCATTTCCGCCTCCGGGAGCCCAAGCTGCTCGTGAGACTCGGGCAGTCTGTCGGGCCTCGAAGCCCAGCCAGAGATCACTCGGTCTGTTTCCTCTGCGATGAGCACCCGTATGCAACCGTCCCGCCTTCGAAGGTCGAACCTGGACTCCTTCAGCATGCAACAGGCTGGCCTTGCTTGGGGTCGTGGGTGAGTCCCGTGCTGTTCGTATTCCGAGCGTGTCAGAATGTGGCTAATTGCAGCAGATTTGGCAGACTTGAGCTTTCGAGAGGTTGGCATCGTTGCAGAAGCCTTCGATGTCGTGGGGCATCACCATCGTAAGTTGGTAGGCGCGGCGCCGAGAGTTCATTTGTTTCACTGCAATTGCGACTTCAAGCTGCGATAGACTCTTCTCGTATCTTCTCGTGTTGTGTCTCGAAATGCAGGCATGTCACCTGAGTGCAACAGCAGACCGCTTTCCCGAGTCAGCAGGATACATCGAGCAGATCCTGCTAAAGGTGCAAGAGGCACCGGAGGGAGGGCAAGAGCGCTCAAGACAGCAGGTACATCACATTACATCACTCATGCTCCACCAAGTAGACCAGCCGTTCCCGTTCCAAAGCCGAAATGGTAGATGTCGCAGCTTCTTGTAGTTGACCAGACGAAGACACTTTAGGTGTAATGCTAAACTGACATGGTGCAGGAAGGCGCAGAGGCACGGCCAGGCAAGGAGGGCTTCCGAAAATTTCCGTGTGCGCGTACCTGCATCAATTCTGCATGCATGACGGGCTCATGGTGTAGAACCCTTGCCCATTTTGGGTAATACTAACACCAGTCGGCCCATTAGAAGATTCTTCCTATACTCGCCCCTACAACTCACCAACTATGTCACTACTACTTCCCCATTATCATTACAAGTATAGGCATAACCAATTGCCCCATCTATATTCCCTCAGGTGGTATTATTACCCAAAACGGGCAAGGGTTCCTTCATAGATTTTGATAGGTTCAGGGTTAGAGGTTGCATGACACACAGCCCATCATGATGCGACGAAGTCTGCTCAAATCCCACAGGCAACGACTTGCCCAGACATGTGATGTGACGGCGAGGTTCATAGAAACACAGACGTCGTGCATTGTGCCCCATGGAACTGGTGGCATTGTTACCCCAGATGGGCGAGGGTTCTGCTAAATAATTAATGATTTTCGCTTACGGGTCAGCGCGGCTTCCTGTGTTCTACCGGCGTGACCCACCTCAGTCGCACCCCGCCCATTTTAAGCACACCGCAACATCTCCGACCCGGGAAGCCCGGAATGCTAGAGCCCCTTCGGGAGATTTCGGGAGTGCTGCGATAGGCTGTGGACACGACAAGCGACACCACCGCGAAGCAGGAGCAGATCCTTCTAAATTCGGGCTACGTTTTAGCGCAAGCACAAAACTGCCACCATAAAGGTGGAGCACGACGAAAATGACATGGTGTTGTCACTGGGAGATAATTGTCAGGAGTGGAATCAAGCCCGCAAGGTGATGCAGCCAGCCGCCGCCGGCTTATCGCAGCGTTGCTGACTGCTGCAGCACAGCAGGAGCTTTTGTTTAATTTAATGGGGCCTCAAAGGTGCGGTTCCAGCGAACAAGAAAGATGCATAAAGATGTGCTTCCAGTCACTGAGTCACTGCCCTGGCCAGGAGAGTTTCGCTCGCCGTAGCCAAGCCACGATGCAACGCTTTGTGGAGGATTTCTGGTTCAACTCCGGTGACACGGGTGTGGCATGGTAGTGCATGTGAAGCACATAATACTCTGCAGGAGCTCACAAACGAGCTGAAAGCATCTGCAGCTGGGCTGCACTTATGCAGCCTTGTCAGTGGCAGAGAGGGAGAGCGAGGACAGAAGTCAGCCGTAGCCAGGGTACCAGAGCTGAGAACGTTTACCATTGGGGGTGGCGACTAGTGCACATGTCTATAAAACTATACCTCGCGGCTTGTCCATCAGCGAGTTCCTCGGCAGGCTCCGTTTGAGGATGCAGTGCCCAGGCGACCCCATGATTTGCTAAGACTGGCGATGCATGTCTTACTGGTCGGATTGCGCACGCCTGACATTCAACTTGTGACGCTGCCCTATGTCAAGTCACAGTAGTATAGTAGGAGGAAGAGTAGGAGGGTTCTTGATCTTTAACCGCTTGTGCTCGCCACATGCAGCGAGAAGGCAAGAGAGCCACAACAAGCTTGAACAAACAGCCATTATCGACACCGTAAGCTACTCAACTTCGACACGTGAGCTTTGCACTTCCCGCACTCGTTCCCCGGAGGGGTCCGAGGCGAAAGTAGTTGGAATCAGGAAGCTGCTTGGACGACGAGGGTGCGAAGTTCAAGCGAGACTTGCTTTCAAATCCTTGCAGCTTTCCGAGCCCGGGTGCCGTAGCTCGCTGCTGTTGGTGCCATGCCGGTGAGGAGGCGTGGACAGAAGTTCTGTACTGAGAAGAGGGCCGTGTTGGTGTGGCCAGCCTTGCAGCAGGCCGGGAGGAAAATATCGAGGTCCGGACCCAAGCATTGGAGCCAGGCAGATATTCCTTGTAGATTTGGTGAGCTGAAGTGGTACGTCGGAGTCATGCAACCACTTCTGGACCCTTTTGACTGAAGGTTTAATCGCTCGAAACAAGTCGGACGCTGAAATCGCCAAAGAGGAGCTCGGCGTAGACTTCCTGCACGCTCCGAGTCACCTGCACTGAATCCTGCCGCATGAGCACATGCTACGTACATGGAAGGCTTGATCAGTGCCCCTTAAGTTTGCATTCGAAAAGCCGGCGAAGGCGCGCGATCGTTTGCGACGTGCTACAGAGGCCCGGTTTCTGCGAGGGCTCCACTCTTCACAGATGGTGTGCAAGTGTTGCTGACTGAAAAATGAACGACCTCATGCTTGGCTGTACGGCACGGAAGGGCCGGCAGTGCCTGGCGCAGTCTATCAACTTGTGCCAGGCGGCCATCCGACGAGGAGCTGCGAGGAGAAAGAAGGCGGAAAGTCTTTCTGCATGCCAGCTGCACTCCTTTGCGCGCCGTACCCTACACTCGACACGCCTTCAGCTTTGTGTTTCTTGAACGGACTCCGGTTGCTTGCCTTCTTGCTCCGTCGCGGAGATGTCTGGAGCAGGACCCACTGGCCGGCACAAAGCTGAAAAAGAAGGAGGAACCATTGACTTGTTTCGTGGTTCGTCTTTTTGCAAAGTTTCCTTTGCAGCATCTGTATTCATCGGTCCATTGCCAGAGGAAGATTCAGAAGCTACACGCCAGCAGCGAATTCTCAACATGCTTATCGGAGGCACGGCTTGTGTCCAAGTTTGGTGCTTGTGCGACGTGGTCAAACATTGAAGAGCATATGGCTTGACTATGCTTTTGACCAGGAGTCTGTAAGTGATTACAGTTTCGCGCAATCAATAACAGCCTCCATATTCGTCTCATGGCATCCAAGAGCCCATCGGAAGTACTATGTTGTTATGGCTTGCAGACCTGCACGGGAATTACAACGGGAATGCGATGAGCAGAATTACTTATAACATGACACTCTGGTAAACCTGAAATAGGGGTGCATGCACACAACGTGAATATGTGCATCCTAGCAGCAGGCGGAAGATGTGACATAAAACAGCACAGCTTTTTGTTCAAGCCCTCTGGTAGCCAAGTCGTAGCCACAATGTTTGGAAAATCTCATACTGTGTTGTTGACGCCGCATGAGTTTGGCAGCATGTTAGACCACGAACACAGTAGGAAGTTAGGTTTTCAAGTCTACCCTCAGGTTCAACTTGCCATCCTCACATTGTGAATTCAGCATCTACCACTTCGTGCCGCAGGCAAGAAAGGAAACCTGAAGAAGTTCTTCTTGGCCTGGTTGGCACCAGCCTCAAAGCCTTCTACGTAGTGATGGTATTCGTCAGCATGGGAGAAGGCTGCTACTGCTGCTCCTTCAGCTGCTGGTTTGTTGTTGTTGTTGTTGTTGGCGGGTTCGCCGCGGAGGTGTGTCGATCTCAGGCGAGGGCTTAACATTTTCGCGATTGTGTCGAAGATTACAGCATTTAAGGGCCTTCTGCCTCGGCCTCTACAGTGGTTCGTGGGAATTCGGCTGTGTTTCTGTCCTGGAAGGATGCTGCACCTGCACGTCTAGATGTGTAGCGCATCTTCCTTTTTGCTGACTGTCGCGGTGGGGGAGTGTGGGGATGGGGGTGGTCGTGATGACGTCCACGGCAGTGTGGGGAGCGTGATGATGTCCATGCCTGCTGGGTCGTGATGGAGGCATGGACAGCGTTGAGATTTGGAGCTTTCCCACGGCGGCCTCTGGGTCTTTCGCATCTCTTTTTTAAACGGCTTCTTCCGTACAAAGAAAACATTAAGCACCCACCACATTCCCAAACACTTAAAGATTTGGACAATGAGAAAACAAGAACAAACAAAATGACATATTCCGCACAACATCGCCTTCCATAAAAAAATAGCGAAAACACAAGGTTTCTAAAACAAACAAATGCAACAAGACACGACACACCCTGTGCGGCGGCAGACGCCCCCGCGACGTTGTCGTTATGGCTGTGTTACTGCTGTCCCGACGTATAACGCCTTGCAGTCGGAACGCCAAGGGATCCATGGCATGTCAGGTCTTGTCAAACCTGGCACGACAACTGCGCGAGCCAGAAAAAGTAGAATCTGGAACAAGCAGGAATTGTAAGGTACTGTTGGATCCAACAGCATCAATCGATCAGCAGCATTTGGGCGAACGTCCCATAACGGGTCACATGCCGTGGCACCAACGTGTGGCTGGTCTGAATGTGCATGCTCAGCTCTTGTGTAAGACAGAAAATATTCCCGACGCACTTTCTGTTGGTGTTTCAGTAGGTGTCGATAGAACACATGCATTGCTTTGAGCCCCGCTTCATGTGAAAGGCAGACGAGTTGTAGCATGAAGCAGGGTGAGAACGAATTCTTGAAGATAATCGTGCTCTGGTTCATGCTGCGTTGCTGCTCGCTCAGACTGGCGTCCAGATTCAGATGAAGGACTTCCTGCTCATGTGGACAATGGCAGAAGTCAGCGCGACAGCCGAGTCCAAAGTACGGTCGCGCAAGCCATTGCGTCGTTGTGTCGCAAACACGGCAGCCTGTGCTGCTGTAATTAGTGTGCCATCTTTCGCTCTGCCCACCCAGCTCAACAGCTCATTTACGCGGAAGGAGAGCCTGATCGAGGAGCGTGAGCTCGCATGGCAGCGTACGTGTGTAAGAGATGCCACGCCCTGAGTGCAATCATAGCCTGCAGGGTTTGATTGACTCCTACGGAGGAAAGAGGGGCCATAGAGTTTGAACGGGGGCTGGGTTTTTTTGGTCCCCATAGGGTGTTTTTTTGTGTACTGTCGGAAAGGCTCTTTTTTTGCCCTGGGTAGGCCCGGCGCTCAACAGCTTCTCGAGCATGCATGGACAGAGTCCGAAGTAAGCCCTCCGCCCTGTCCAAGGGGTTGTTGTATCTCCACCAAAGTGGACAAGGTCGAAGAAAGCCTTCTCCCCCGCGCACGGGTTAACAATAACAAACCTTCCCCTCAGCGGACAAGGCTTTCAGTGCATGGATTCTCTGCAGGTCGGATCGAGATTCGGGCCCGAACTGTTGAGCGGGTCTAAAAAGGTCGTCTTGTGTACCCCTTGCCACCCAGAGGTCTTAAAGACCGACTTGCCCCAGGGCCTTGTGGGGGGCTTCAAATGGTCCCTGAGGCAAAAGGAACACATGAAGCCTCGAGGAAGGCAGAACAACGCTTTGACAGGCCACACAGGGCTTTTTGACTTCTTGACATGGCTTCATGCAGACGTGCCGCCATCGCCCGAATTCGCAGGGTTCGATCACTGTCACGCCTTTTCCCGGGCTCACAGCCTGCATGCCCTGCGCGGGCTTTCACCCCTTCGTGGACTCGCTGCCCGTTGTGGGCTTCCTTCCGTTCGCGGGCGGGATAGAGACTTGGATCGAAAAGATCAATTGGGATCAATAAAGAAAAATTGGATAAATAAAATCAAATTAGCAAAAGAGAGGAAGGTAGGAAGGCAGGAAAGAAGAAAGGAAGGAAGAAAGGAGAGAAGGAATGAAGGTATGTATGTATGTATGTATGTATGTATGTATGTATGTATACATACATACATACATACATACATACATACATATCACAAAGTTCTTGAGTTTTCAGTGCGCCATGGTTCAAAGACATGGGAGGGCTTATCATTCACCATCCGCCGTCTTTGTCAGAAAACACCGAACGCTTATCAGAAAACACGGCGCACGTTATCAGGAAACACCGCGCGCTTATTAGGAGTAGCTGGCACTGGCTGTCGTGCATTTACGTGTCTACTAGAAATGCATGGCGAGTAGCCTCCACCAGTTTTTAGGGTTTAGGCCCGCCCGTCAGCAGCAGGATAAGCACATGTTTAGTTGTGGAGTTGGATGGGGAGATAGCTATGCATGTAGGTGTCCAATAGAAATGCATGGCGAGTGCTATGCGGCAACAGACAGCAGCCGCCAGCAGGGTTTAGGGTTTGGGGTTTAGGGCCGCCCGTCAGCAGCAGGATCGGCATATGCTTAGATTTGGAGGTGGATCGGGAGATAGCTATGAATTTAGGTGTCCACTACAACTGCATGCGTTTGGAGCTGGATATGCATTTGCAGGCGTTTGTAGAATGCATAGAGCTACATATGCTGCCGTGCCGCGGAGGATCGTCTGCTAGCTACGCTTTGTATGCTAATAGAGGTCATAAAACTACAGTTGAACATTGTGCATTTTTCAGGGGCTAAGGAAATGCATATGGCGTTGTTTGATTCTCGGTATCTTCGAGTCGCCTTGACCGTCGGACGCGTCCGATAGAGCAAATGGCTGTCTCTGATAATGGCCAGCTTTCGCACATGAGAAAGTCACTCATATGGCTGATAAGTTTTTGCTTTGCACGCGTTAGAGGCAGTCTCATGTCTGATAACGTGCGCGTGAAAACCCATCACGTTGTAATATATGTATATATATATATGTATGTATATGTATACACATTCACTCAGGGAGAGAGTATATGTTCACATATTCCATATACATGTATAGGTATGTGTATATATGTATATATATATATATGTATATATGTATATGTATATATATATATACATATGTATATATGTACCTATATATATATATATATATATTCATGTATATATGTATATATATATATATATGCATATATAAGTGTATATGAATGTAGATATATGTGTATATATATATAT